TAGGGTTATTTATTATTAGTAACATTGCCATCCCACTCTTCTTCCAGTAAGTTCAAGGCAGTATTTGATTCTCTTCCTGCCCACTGTATCTTCACAACAACTTTGTAGGTAAATCAGATTGAAGAGAGTGACTGGCCCCACATCAACCATGAGGGTTTGTGGGCTGAGCAGAGACTACAAGTTGGATCTTTCTACTCTCTTTCCAAGAGTTAAGAGGGAAGCAACCATACTCATATGAACAACTTCATGCTAAGCTAGTGATTCTTGGTGCCTCTGGAAATAGGCTAGGAAGGGCAGCTAGGAATTACAGACAATGGATCCATAAAAATTAATCTTATTCTTTTGTATTACCATTTGCTCTAAGGTCCATCTCCCCAGATGGAAACCCAGGAAAGCATTGCAATTCCTTAAGACTTGCTGCCTGCACCCTGAGATTAGCTGGGGAGGCCTTTCTCTTGGTCCTATCACCTTCGCAGACAAATTTGTTGGAGAAACAGGTGGGAGCTGTCTCTGTTGCTGCTCCCAGAGTCTGAACTCCCACCTACAAGAGACCGGGTTGGCCTCATCGTTGCTGTCTTTCGGCAAGCAGGCAAAGACCTTTTTCTTCAGGTGAGCTTTCCCTTAGTGACTGGCAGCCCAAGAGGGATTTTAAATGGAATGTTATCATTTCTTGCTTTGAATCTATTGTGGGGCTTGATTTTGTTTACCATTTTTAATGTGGTACTTCTTTGATTCTTTCCAGTATTTGTATACTTTTGGTTTTTAGCTTTTAAATATTTTGTTTTAATGATGTAAGCTGCCTTGGGTCATTTCTAAGGAGAAAGATGGGGTAAAAATAGACTAAATAAGTAAATTTCAGTTTAAAGTGGCTATCACAATTTCCTTGCTCCATGCCACACAGGCACTTTGCAATACCTATTTTATTGTATTTTCATTTTACAAGCAAGTCTACAGCCCTTGTGTCACATCCTCCAGGAGCTATTAGCTCAACAGCTTGTGCATCTCTTCCTGTTATTATCATAGTGATGTTCTGAAAGGAAAATATGGAAGTGGTGAGAAAACACAGCAAGGGCATGTGTTTTATTTATTTATTTGTTATATTTCTATTCTGCCTCCCCATTTTAAAACCAAACATCACTAAAACAGCATATAATGTCTGGGCACTGACACATCACTAACCCCTATTCCATAAATAAGGTTGGGAAACTTCATGCTAAAATCCTGATCTAGAAACATTCTCTGACAAACAGAAGACCAATCAAGCTCACTCTTCTCCCTTCCATCCTCCAGCATGGATTTTTTACCTTTGCAAAAAGCAATGTGGTTTTTTTTTTCTTTCTGAATATATTTTCCCTAGTGAGCATGCTGCATTTTCCTTTGCTGTCCTTTTAAAACATATCAAGACAGACGATAACCATCTTGATACTAACACACTGTTCCAAAGTTTAAAAAACTGGGTAAAATCCTGCTGCTTCGAAATGTAATGCTGTCCAAGCTCCATGCAATTGCCATGTTATTTATGCAGGTCAGAGTTAGCAATATTCAACCAGGTGGGGTTAACCCATGTTCAAACTGATACCAAATAGCTCTTTGTGCACTCTGATAAAGAGTAATATTATTCATGCACAGCATTGTTATGTAGTGGTAGGAGTGGATTCTGCCCAAAGGCTTCCTTTTAAAGGCATATTCAATGTCATCACAGGCTGCTGTTAAAAAAAAACTGAGAAAACATCTCTGGAACAATGTGTTCTGTTTCTCCATACATGACCAAAGTACTTTTTGTGTCATCAAGCTGATTCTGATCTATGACAATCCTTTTCAGAGATATCCCCCCCAATGTTTAAAGTAGGCAGAAGTGGTTTACCCTTCTGTTTCTCTTCTCCTAAATTGGCCTACTGCCCTATGCCATGTCCAGTATTCACCTGGCAGGCCAATTGGGTCTGGAATGTGGAACAGGGGAGAGGCTATCATTTTGTCCTTGTCCAGATAGGGCCGCAACTGTGCATCCTGCCAGAGTTGGAAAAAGGCAGACCTGGCCCTGGCAGAAATTTGCTTCTCCATAGACAGAGATGAATCCAGAAGCACACTAAAGTTGTGGACCTGGTCCTTTGGGGGTGAGTGGGGTGTAACCCTTTCCAGACCAGGCAATATACCCCCTAAATCAGTCAGGTTTCCCTACCAGCAACAAGATCTCTGTTCTTCTTCTCTCTCCACCCCCCACCCCCATAGAGCATGACTGAATATGTCCTTATCTAAGAGGCTAAGAGCCTCGTGGCGCAGTGGTTAAAACGCTGTACTGAAGCTAAAACTGTGCTCACAACCTGGGGTTCAAATCCCAGGTAGCCGGCTCAAGGCTGACTCAGCCTTCCATCCTTCCGAGGTCGGTAAAATGAGTACCCAGCTTGCTGGGGGGGCAATGTGTAGCCTGTATAATTAAAAAATTGTAAACCGCCCGGAGAGTGCTTGTAGCGCTATGGGGCGGTATACAAGTCCAATAAATAAATAAATACATAAAATTGTCCTGCAAGCCAGGAATCAAAAGTGGCTTTTCTAGACTATACTGTGAAGGTTATGGGGCTGTTTATTTAGCTCCAGTGAAGAGGAAGAAAATTAAAGGGACAACTCCCAAAATACTTCAGCCAACACAATGTGGGATGGAGTACTCAGAGAGCTGAAGTCAAAAAAGTAATAACTTTTCCCATCTCTGTCATCCTACCAGCTTATCTGTCAGTCTTGTTGATCTACCTCTGCCCACCAACACCCTATTTTAAATGTTACAATGTTCAGCTATGCAGCAATCTTATGGCATCTTAAAGACTTCATATATTTATTATGGCACAGTTTTTACAATTGTACTCAAGTCAGCTTTGATTTAAAAAAAGCACAATCAGGTCCTTCATGAAGCTGATGCCTTTTAAAAAAACCACAATCAGGTCCTTCATGAAGCTGATGCCCTTTCATGTGCCACACAAAGACTCCTCACTGTTTCACATATTGTGATGTTTCATACTTTCTGCCTATACAGTCTTAACATGTGTATTGTTTTCCTCGCTTCTAAACATGGCAGGCTTTGCTTCTAAACACTCGGCCTGTTCTGTTTGCCTCTCCCAGCTCTGTTCAGTGTGGCCTTCGATCGCAGAGCTCTGCCTGGAGAGCAGAGGCAGCTGAGGCAGCCTTAGCATTAGTCAGAGGGAGGCTAACCCTGCAGGCGGCACGTGCCACCATGGCAGTCCCTTGGCTGTACTTCGGGAGCCCCCTGGCACACGCAGGCCAGAACTGTGCCATCCTGCACATCCATTCTCTTCTCCTAAACTGGCCTGCTGCCCTATCCCATGACCAGTATACAACTGGCAGGCCAGTCAGGTCCAAAATGTGGAATAGGGGAGAGGTTGTCATCTTGTCCTTTGTTGCCTCAAAGCAGTCAAAAGTCTTGGGCTGTGACCCCTGGGCAGGAGCTGTTTCCCCTGCTGCAGGGAAAATGCTTGCATTAAGAAGAGGTGAGTCTGGAAATACTCTCCCTCCCTACATAAGGCAGAGGCAGGAGAATCTCCCATGATGTGCTTGGCGGGCTTCCCCCCGTCTGCCTCCGCGCTCTGGCTCCAACTTTTCCAAGTGGAAAACTACTTGGAAAGCACGCCCTTCTTTGACCTTCCTCCCGAGTAAACAGCAACCCACCCACCCACGAGGGTCGTCGCGGGCGCTCCCACGTCCTTTTAAGCACCGGAGCCCTGGCAAAAGTGGCTGGGCTTTGAAACAGAAGCTTCTTGCGCCGCAAAGGTTGAGTTCCAGCTGCGGCAGAACCAATTTTTCTCGGCCTCGGTGGTCTACTCGCGGCATCGCCCCACGTCACGCACTGGGGAAGTGGGTTAATGCGTGGGAAGGATTCCTTTGAAAGCCTAGAAATGGGGAGCAGGAGGAGGAGGGAGGGCGGTCTCGCGGGCTCGTTTTCCAGCTGTGGGAACAATGGGTAAGAAAGCGCCAAGAGCAGCAGCTCCCCGAGCAAATGCCAAACGGCTTTCTCCGCTACGCTACACATTAACTCCGGCCCACGCTCCGCTCTAATGAAAAGCCGGCTCCTTCTTCCTCAATTATGCCTGCCCGGAGGGGAGGATTAAAAGGAGGGGAGGGGGGAACCTGCTGGCTGGCTTTCTCCTTTTTAAGGTCACCGGTGCGATCGGCGGTGACTTTATTTTGGGTTTGAAACTATTCCCTGGGGGGGCGCGGGGGGAGGGGAAAGCAGAACACACAACTAGCCTGTACGAAGTCGCGTGTGTCACGATTGTTAAAGGAAATCGAAGCTTGGGTGCGTGTTCCTTTCCCGGTGTCACCTCTATCATTGAGGAAAAGCTTCCCTAAATGCTTGCAAAGGTATCCCCATCTTTTCAAGGCATTTCATCGGTGCTGTGATGGCTACGCTGATGTGTTGATTTCTTTCTTTTCTTTTTTCTTTTTTAAAGGGGTGGTGGTGGAAATAACCCGAAAGTTCACTGGCATCCGCACAAATCGATTTTCAAGAGGAAACGGGTCGGCTGCGAAGCACCGCCGTGAAACGAGCGCGCTGGTATAGGGAGCAGCCTGCGAGCGAAAGGGTGGCTTTTGTTCCTCCTCGAATAGGGCCATTTGTTGTGTAATCGCCGGGCTGCTCGGCGTGAGCTGTTCACCGAAGGAAACTCGAGACCCAGACGCGCGGCTCTAGCGGCTGTGCTGTGCCTTCCCTCCGCTACCGCTACCTTTTCCTCTCCTCCCTCCCTCCCTCTCTCCCTCCCTCCGGCTTTCCTTCTCCTTCCTCCCGCTGAGCTGCTGTTGCTGCTTGTTTGCACGCGGCTTATCCGGAGCGGAAATTCCTTTCCGTTTTTGTGAATGACAAACTCATTAACAATTCATCAACACAACCTGTTCCAGCCGGCCCGTCGCCCCGGCAACAGCCCCTTCCGCGCGCCCTGATTGGCTGAACGAGAGAATGTATCCATTGAGACGTTCCCTGTTTGTATCCATTGAGGAACTGCCTGGCGCTGATGGGGAACGGGGCGGGGGGGGGAGAAGGCGGAGTATGTGGCAAGGCTGATTAAAAGGGACATTGATCACATCAAGGGGATTCGGAAGAAAAGAGGAAGGAGAGAGAGAGAGAGAGAGAGAGAAGGTGGCCGTTGGGGTGGGCAGGAAGCGTGATGAGAGGAGCGGCGGCAGCAACAACCCGGGCGACCAGAGGCTAGCTTGCACACCGGGGGGAGAGGGAGCGAGAGCGAGAGGAAGCCAGGCAAAGGCAAAAAGCGCTACCGCAGGGGAGCCAAATGCAGGATCTGCCTGGTAGCACTCTTTCTATCTAATGCATGTCCTCCCTGCAGTGTGCAAAGGCGCCCAAGCACGTTTAATTGGATTTCGGCCTCTCCGCGGGAGGAGGAGGGTCGCGGAGTGCCTGGACTAGGAGGAGATCGACGATTAGGGAGGTTCATTCGGGGTTTCATAAACTAGGCAAAAAAAGAAAAAGGGGGGGGGCGAGAGAGAGGGAGGAAGAACCCGAAGAGATCCAGGGCAAGCGCCAAGCTCGCGAGGGGGCCCAACTGCCCTAAGGCCACGGCGTGGGGCTCGCTCTTCTCCCGCTGCAGGCGCTTTTCGGCCGCGCGTCAATGAAGCGAACGGGAGCGAGTCGAGGGCCAAGGTAGGCAGAGAGCCTCTCGCCGAGGTCTCTCCTGGTGCCTCTTCTCTCCCCGTGGCCCTTTTCCGAGCCGGGCAGTTTCGCGAGGCCTCCCCGCCGCTCGCGGCCGGCCTTTCCTCATGCTAGATACGCTCCGACCCGCGGTCTCCCCCTTCGCGTCGGAGATGGCGCTCTGCAAGACGGTGGCGTGGCTGAACGAGCAGCTGGAGGTGGGCAACGAGCGGCTGCTGCTGATGGACTGTCGCCCGCAGGAGCTCTACGAGTCCTCGCACATCGAGTCGGCCATCAGCGTGGCCTTGCCGGGCATCATGCTGAGGCGGCTGCAGAAGGGCAACCTGCCGCTCCGCGCCCTCTTCGCCAGCGGCGAGGAAGAGCGCGAGAAATTCGCCCGCCGCTGCGGCACCGACACCGTCGTCCTTTACGACGAGAGCAGCAGCGAGTGGAACGAGAACACGGCCGGCGACTCGGTCCTGGGGCTGCTCCTCAAGCGCCTCAAAGACGACGGCTGCAAGGCCTTCTACCTGGAAGGTAAGGGGTTAAACGCGGCAGAGCGCGGCTGGGCGCCCGGCCAGCCTGAGCAGGAGGGGGAGGCGGAGGAGGAGGGGAAGCGGGACGGGATCCCCGGAATCTCTCTCCCCCCCTCCCCGGCCTCCTTTCCTTCCTTCCTCCCTTCCTTCCGCTCCATCCGGCGGCTCTTCTCCCCCCCCTCCCTCTGGGAGCCTAGGGAGCGTCTAGACTCCAGCCTCCCTCCCCTCCGTCTGGGCACAAAGCGTCCTCAACTGTCCCCCCCCCTCCGCCTTCTTTTATGATACTGAGCGATGCCAGATGGTCCTGGGTTTGTCAGAGGGGAGGAAAAAAAGAACTTTAAAAAAAAGCCACATTGTGGAGCCAGGAAAACATGCCCGCCTCCCCTGCTCTCTCGCCTCTTTCGGGCGCCTACCACGGACAGCAATGAGCGGGGGAGCCTGAGGTCGCTTGTAGTCTCTCTCAGGGATAACTTTGAAGTCTTCGCGGCTTTCTCCAAAATGGCCCCATCTTTAACACACACACCCCCCGCCAAATCCATCCAGAAGATTGTCAGGACAGGTTTCTTTTGCTTAAGGAAGGCAAGTCCTAATTTTTTGACCAGAAACTCCAGGTTGGGGGGGGAAAGAAATGAACCCCAACTCTGAGTTTCCCCTTCTTCTAAGACTTTCTCTCCTTCCCTGCAGCCCCCCCCCAAAAAAAAATGCAAATACAGTAATGTGCTGGGCACCAGAGTTTGGAAAAAGTTACTGCTTGCAGGCAAGAGTTAGCAGGATCCTGCAGCCAGCAGGGACAGTGGGAGATGTAATACCAAAAATAATTTTTTTAAAAAAATCAGTTCAGGCTGTGCATGGAAGAATTTAGAGGCAGAAGTCTCCCCCCCACACACACACACACTAAAAGGAACAGCAAGACCCCCAAAGTCCAGTGTCAGATTTTGAAAGAATGCACATTAAACATAAAAGGGCCCTACTCCCTAGTTTTCTGACTGGAGAAGGTGAGCCAGGAAAATAGAGGAGTCCATTCATGCTTTTAGCTTTACTATGGTCTGCCCTGCAAACTGCTAGAGATGAGTCTGAGGTCAGCAAGCAGATCAAAATATCCCAAATGCAGGGACTTTGTGGAGCTGTAAAAAATTGCTACTTACAATGTCTGAAATTGAAAGGAAGCCCTTTCAAAGGAGGGATGGATGCCCTTAAGGCACAGACAGCTGATAATCCTATTACATCCTGTTTCCTTTTGTTTGGAACCTGGAGAGCTGAACTCTTGATAGGAGGAGGTGGTGATAGTAGGGCTATTAAGAGTCATCCCTTAAAAAAACAGTGAAGGAAAACAAAATGCTTCCATGGGATCCCCTGAATTTTGGTTTATTTCATCAGTCCTTAATAGGGTGGCATGATTCCAAATGGGTATTTTGTTCTTTTGTGGTTAGACAGGCCAAGGCATTTGGGACAGAGGTATATGTGTGTGAGAGAGAAACATCTCAGGTATGGCCTTGTGGGGGTAAAACGCAACCAAGGTAAAGAACTGGTGGTTCTGTGCCTTTTAGTGTTGATAGATATTCCACAAAAGTTGCTGCTTTTTCACCACTGAAGGGTGGATCTAGTGCTGCTATTGAATTAACTTACATGGCTTAAGGCAGCTTGTTTTACTTACATAGAATTTATTTTGCCAAGGATTGAAGGAGCCTCTTTTGCTTTTGATAATCTCTACTCTCTTCTCTTGTGTCTTGTTTATTTTGTAATTTCTTCCCTGATCTCTTGAATCCCACAGGAATGAAACTTACTTCTTTCTTTCTATATTTCTGCTTTTTCCTCCCAGGTGGTTTTAGCAAATTCCAGGCAGAGTATGCCCTGCACTGCGAAACTAACCTAGACAGTTCATGTAGCAGCAGTTCTCCTCCATTGCCAGTTCTGGGCTTAGGCGGCCTCCGAATCAGCTCAGACTCCTCATCAGACATTGAGTCCGACATTGACAGGGATCCCAACAGTGCTACTGACTCTGATGGCAGCCCCTTGTCCAACAACCAGCCTTCGTTCCCAGTGGAGATTCTACCTTACCTCTATCTGGGCTGTGCCAAGGATTCTACTAATTTGGATGTTCTGGAAGAGTTCGGCATCAAATACATCCTGAATGTCACTCCCAACCTGCCTAATCTTTTTGAGAATGCTGGCGAGTTTAAATACAAGCAGATTCCTATCTCCGACCACTGGAGCCAAAATTTGTCTCAGTTCTTTCCTGAGGCCATCTCTTTTATAGGTGAGATTTCGTAAGCCAGAGATCTGAATATATGTCATTGCTAGCGTTGTTACTTCATTAGCAGCATGCCTTGCACTGTCTAATCGGTATGTACTGTTCAACTTTCAAACCCTTTTAAAATGTAAGAGACAGAAAGATTATGGAATTCCCCAGGGTTTAGCCATGTCCTGTGGCATAGTTTAAGATTGCCAGATAGTTCATATTTAGGTCATCTGTCTGTATTCTGAAGTAGCATTTTCTTTTTATTTATAGTTTCCTGTAGTGATTCTAATAGCCTGTATTCACTTTTATGTTTTTTAAAACAACCATTCCCCAAAGAAAGTTTGTGTCAAAAATACTAATCTGGAAAATGATATATTTCAATTGGCTGATTCTTCAACCAATTGTAGATTGAACATAAGACAGCAAACTTGTACACACTTTGCTTATATGAAAATAAAGAAAAGTTCACACTGCCTGGCTCTTTTACAGTTTTATTGAGTTCCTGGGACTGAAGCTAATCTAATCTAAATATTGCCTTTTAAACCGTTCATTACAGATAATCTTTGTATCACAAGCAATTATTATTTAACATATAAGAGGAATGCATGCATAGGTTTTGCCATAAATGTAGCTGTGGTTTTCTTTCCTTTCTTTTTGTGAAACCATCCAGTTATGCCTTTCCTCCCTGCCCCCTCCAGACCCATGTTGGGAGGGCCATTGCCTTACTGTGCTGTAATCTGATTGAGTGATACTGGTAATAGGGCAGAATGTAGGTAATCTGAGCACAGCAAGAAGAAACTGTGAGCTAGGAAATGCAGAGAAACTAATCTCCAGGCATTAGAATGCACTTCCTATTACAAAGGAACCCATTTTCTAGCAGTGTTGACATCCTGTTTCTCCTAATGGGCTGTCCCCTGTGACTTCTCTTTATTTTAAAAGGCCTGAATACCTCCATTGTTCAACTGCACTGCACAACTGTTGCGAGAATAATTTAATAGACCTTTGCAATCTGCTTGTCTCTATAAAAGAATGACATTGTAGAGTCTCTTCATTCAACTGCATGCTAGGGGAGACATAGACAGAACTGGGTTTGTGGCCAAGCATTAATAGTCTCTTCAAGGAAAAAAAACAAGGAATGCTTTCTCCCAGAAACCTCTGCCTGTTTCTGCTCATTGCAAGAAATGCCCCCTATTGCTATGTACCTGCTTTCTTCCATGCTGCAGCTTTTCATATCTTACTCTTTATGGAGTGAAATCTTGTATTCAGTCAACAAAATTCAATCAGCAGTGAAGCTCCCATTACAGTCCATTTCCAATTACAGGTTGGAACTTAAAGAATACTTCCTGCACTTCAAAAATGGGTGTGTCGGACAGAAGAAGGTGAAACCATTTCTGCCCATTTTTGTGTGTGCAGAAGTGTGGATACTATCCTTCTTAGAAGATTTTGTTGTGCAGAAGAAACTATTCTAGCTGAGTTTCTTGATTGTGCATCTTTAGCACAATCAACTGGTCAGGATAGGTTTCTTTTGGTACAATCCAGCAAAAATAACACCATGTCATGGGGCTCATTTTGAACTGCCCCAGATACATCAGGAGTTCAGCATACTTCTGAAAGACCCAACATCTGCTTTAAACTATTTGGTGTAGCTTCAGGCATGTGAAAAGGGGCAGAAGGACAGTGGAAACAGTACAGTATTACAAAAGTAGGAGAGCTACTGTCTCCCAAATGTTTTGGATGACACCTGGGGATGTTTTAGCTGTGCATTTCCTACATTGGCAGGGGGTTGTATTAGATGACCTTTCCAACCCTACAATTCTGTGATTCTTTCATTATTACTGATCACAGGCCAAGTCAACTGGGATGTATGGAATACCCTAGGTTCCATGCCCTTTCAATAGTAATTCTTAATGTGCATGCCTTTGGATCTCATCTCAGTTACACTGTGTCCTGAAATGTTTACCCAAGTTGGAAGAAAATGTGTATCTCATGGTTTCTTTTCCTTGTCATCTTCTCATCATAGATGAAGCCCGTGGGAAGAACTGTGGAGTGCTTGTTCACTGCCTGGCAGGAATCAGCCGGTCAGTCACAGTGACAGTCGCATATCTTATGCAAAAGCTCAACCTGTCAATGAATGATGCTTATGACATTGTCAAGATGAAGAAATCCAACATCTCTCCCAACTTCAACTTCATGGGACAGCTGCTGGACTTTGAGAGGACTCTAGGACTGAATAGCCCTTGCGACAACCGTGTGCCCAGCCAGCAGCTGTATTTCACCACTCCTGCCAACCAAAATGTCTTCCAGGTGGACTCTCTGCAGTCCACGTGAGTGCCAGCCAGTTCCAGCTCTTCCAACCTTGGATCAAGTGATCATTCCTCGATGCTTCTATTTGATGGCAGCAAGGGAGTGCCGCTCTCTTTGTGGGCAACGCGATTGAGCAGCGGCTGCCTGTGTGCTAAACAAAATAAAAGGTTAAAAAGTTCGGAATCAGCTATTGGAAAGGAAGGAAACTTACTCAGTTCTCCAGGGTTAGGGTGGGTGGGGTGGGGGTGAGAGGAACTTCAGTTGTTGCCTAGGTAAGCAGCATATTTTGCTCAATGCACAAAGATCCCACCTATGCAAGGACTTGGAACTGAGGACTTCCAAACACAAATAGGGGGAAATAGACACTCTGAACACATGTCCTCTGTTGTGAGACTGGGAGAAATGTATTACTTGCATTTTTAATATATATGTGGTTGTCTTCAGTGAAGACTAAATGTTTATTTTCTTTTTCCTTATATTGATTTAGAGGAGCCAAAGAGAGAGGTTTCAGCTCAGTATATTTTGAATGTTTGTTTGCCAAGAGCATTGTCAGGCTTGGCTTGATTGATGTAAATGTTTTAAATCTCAAATTGATAATCAACATCAGTTTAATGATAGGTACATGAGGTCAACTAGAGGGATGTCATTTTTCTCCACTCTTGAGTAATCCATTCATTTTGCCTGCGAATGGTAAATTTGCAGCATGCTTACTTTTCTTGTTGAAACTAAGTACATTTTCTTCCTTCATTAGAAAATGGATGTCTCTGCTTTTGAGGTTTGTTTATTCACACTGTGTGAATGGATTATGTCTTCTTCTTTATTATTTCTGGTGGTGAATTATCTTCTTTTTTCTCTCTCTCTGAGTGTGCCATCAATGTAGGATTTTGTTTTGACATCAATTTTTTGGCCTTACCTTTGTAAATAGCTTAACTTGCTTTTTTCTTTTTCTTTTGGAAGAGAGTTCTATCTTTGAACAGAAGAATTAATTTTTGTCCTGTTCTAAATAAAAAGAAATTGTTATGTGCGAAACAGTGCATTACCTCTGTACAAACTCTTCAGGGAGCTTGACCTCAAATGCAATATTTTGCATTTATTTTTGTATAAAACTGGAAGTGTGTGTGTGAGCATTGCGCACTTGTGTATATGCAAGAAGATCTTGCACACAATTGTCAATAAGGGAGAGTCTCTAATTTGCCAGTGTAAATGTGGGATTTTATTCTGAGAATGTAAGATCATAAATTATTAATAAATGACTATTTTTGGCTATTGAGAACTGGATTGGTTTATCTTCTACATAAGGATTGCCATAATCAAGGAAAAAGGTGAAACATTTTTAACATTATCAGGTAGGCGGTGTAAATGGCATGCCTTTTGATTTTAAAGCACTTTCAACTCCATGCAGAGAATGTGGGTCTGTTCTTTTAGGCAAATTCTTGCGTGCATGGTCACTTGCTAGATCAGGAACTGGAGGTGGCATCTGAATGCAGCTCAGGTCTCTGCACTGCGTTCCATTCAAGGAGCATTATTTCACATGCCTACTGAAGTGGGCCTTTGCACTGGTATGGTATTTGCACAGGGATGTAGAGCTGAGGAATAATCCCACCTGTTGCAAACATGTAGAATCTAGTACAACGACCAATCTTCACGAAATGTACTTTAAGGAATCTGTAGCATTAAAGGATCCTAGTTATTTTGCAGTTGTAACAAAATTAATTTTTACACAGGTCTTTTATATGCTCCACAGACAGTTCCTATAAAACTAGCATAATTCAGCAAGGTGGAGCCATTGTTGAGCCAGGTGCTGGAGTTTGGGCATTGAAACCCCAACTACAACTCCTAGGGAAGAGGCCAGCTGAGATCACGTGCAGCATATGTGGCTGATGGGATTATGTGTCCTGCCATCCATGTGGACTTAGTCCCAGAGCACCACCAGACAGAAGGATTGGTAAACAGCTTCATGTAAAGAAAACCCTGGAAAGGGCAGCCATAAGACAACATCAACTTATTGGCACAGAATTATTAATTATAGGTTTCACAGTCTTGGAGCTGTGACATACAAAAACACCTGATGATGTACAAACTATGAAAACCTTATAAAATCCATGAAAGATGCTGACACTCAAACATCCTATTTGAATATTAAGCAGTACTATTTCTTACAATGAATACCAGGCCCACCACTGAACTATAACATGTTTTATATGCCTATATAAGTATATGTGAATAGGACTGCAGTTCTGGCCTCTTATTGTAGCTATAGTTAAGATACACACATCACATAATCTTACTCTTTCATCATTCTAGTACTGTAGGAAACTCTGAAACTGATGAGCAGAAGATTCAGGATAAAAATGGAAAGTGCGGCAGAATGTATGAAGACTCTTGATTGAATGGGAGGTTGGATGATACACTCTAGTCCCTCCCATTGTTCCTTTCCATGTTGAGCAGTGAAATCTGTTCAAGTTCAGTTGAGTAGGTGAGAAGGCACAGGGAGCAGAGGTGGAGCAAAGTGAGCAGGACCAGCATGCACAAGCTCCATTCATCTGCGCACTTAACAGCCCTCACCTTTTCAACCTAACACCTGGATAGGATAGCGCTAAAGTCGGTAGATCTTTGTTCCCTTAAAATCATCCACTTTCATAATTCCATTCCCATAAACACCTGTTAAGAACCTGCATGTAGATGGCATGCAATTCTTGTTTCATTTTGCATGGATGACAATATGGAGCTATGTGGAGAAAACTAAGGTGAAGTATATGACCAGTGTATGTATATGCATAAATTGTAGTGGCTGAAATCTTTGTTTTTGCCATGCATCCAATGGCACTTTGTACACATTCTTGTCTTTTTATGATAATCATACAAGGGGTGTTCACCAGTCCCTTGAACATGCAAAAGCCCATTGTTTCTAAGGGGCTGGTCTCCAGCTTCCATGACCACAAAGCAAAGATCACCGGAGCAATCGCAGAATGTTCTGCCTGTGAAGCAGTTACTCTTAGTGGCTGGTAACAAGATTCTGACTAGCATTTCTTTCTTTTTTTAAATCTCCAGATTATTCCTTTTTCCAAAAATGTGAATAAATCAATTTGTAGCAATGAAAATACAGTGCTCCAAGACCTCCTGTTCATTTCAACCATGGTATATGTGTAGCCTTTGACCAAACCTGGGGGATGGAGTGGTAGACAGGAGGGCCTGGCGTGCTCTGATCCATGGGGCTACGAAGGAGTCAGACATTACTTAATGACTAAACAACAACAATAATATGTGTAGCCAAAAAAGAAGGCTGCTGCTTCTTAATTTATCATCTGGACAAAATCTGGGGAAGAGAAATCACGCATAGTGTTAAATGTTGCAAGGGGGTGAATTGAACAGGTAATTCAAAAGGAAGCATGGAGTGAATCAATGGCCAGTATCCTGTTTGAGTTTTACACGCATGCAATGTCAGCTGCAGAAGCTGCCCCAGCACTGATGAAGTGCAGATGGTATGCTGGGTTGTATGTTGCTGATCAGCACGTCATCAGATCACCACGGCAGCTTCTGTATGGTTGGGGTTGCCCTTACATGTAAATACTGAACAGGGCACTGATGTCATAGGTTGGAATCCAATTAGAATGTGCCCCTATGGTTTGCAGAGAATCCAGCACTGATTAATAACAATTGTGTGCCATCAAGTCAATTTTGATTTATGGCAACGCTTTTCAGAGTTTTCCAGGTAGAGGGTATTCAGAAGTGGTTTACCTTTCCCTTCTTCTGGGGGCACCTGGGACTGTGCAGCTTGCCCAAGGCCACACAGACCAGCTCTTCTGAGATGCACAGTGGGAAATTGGACTTGGCAGCCAGATACCTAACTCACTGAGTTATCCAGCCAGCTAATCTTTCCCTGAGGGGCACAAAATGAGGCTTTTATTGTAGAGTCATCTGAGACTCATTCAGACAATTTTACTCAGGGCCTGGGCTACGTGTCCACTACACCCTGCTTGTAACCTTTTTGTCTTTTCCTCATGTTTTCCCCAATCATTAAACACACACACACACACACACACACACACACACACAGAGAGAGAGAGAGAGAGAGAGAGAGAGAGAGAGAGAGAGAGAGAGAGAATTAAGGAGCAAAAGCCAGACCATCTGGACAATGCCTTTTGATTGGCAGTGCCGGAAGACAAGTGACCCAGCACTGAGCATTTTCTTCTTGGCCATTCCTGAGCTGTGGTGTTCAAAAGTGCAAACAGTTCTAGCAACATCCTGTCCAGCTGCAGCACAAGTGTCTTCTTCTTCTTCTTCTTCTTCTCCTTCTTCTTCTTCTTCTTCTTCTTCTTCTTCTTCTTCTTCTTCTTCTTCTTCTTTAATAGTATGGTCTGTGGATAATTTTAGGCAGTTTCCCCTTTGTAGATTATTAATCTCCTTTCTTCATTGAGCCCATGGAGCCAGGCTCCCACTGTTCTGCTGAAACCAACAGATGGCCTCCCTGCCACTTCCTCTCATTTCGCTGTGGGTTTGCTGTCAGGCCACTTCTGAAATTAATAATGTTCCCTGGCCGAGTGCCACAGGCCATTACCACAAAGGGGAAGTAACACATCTGAATAGCAGGAAGCCAGAGAGGCTCACTGTGAACTAAACCAGCTGAGCATAGTTCGAGCCTCTCCCATTCAGCAAGTGTATGGCTTCCTTTTTTCATCCCTTCTCTCCTTCCCCCCGCCTCCTAATTTTAAAAGGGAGTTCTCTGCAAACTCTTTTTTAAAAATTTTATCATCAATTCATGCCGACAAGGCATTACAGCAAAGTGCACATTGTCTTCATATTGTGTTTCAGGGGTGGACAGAACAGGGAAAGCTCCAATGTGCTAGGAATGTCAGGTCTTTAAACTTTATAGCATCTCTCTCCCTCAAAGAAAAAGAAAAGAAAGAAAAAGAAAGAAAAATAAAAATAAAAATAAGAAAAAAAGAAAGAAAGAAAGAAAAAGACTAAATCTCTTCTTTCTGCCTGGAAACTTGTACACAGACAGGGTAGTTCCCACAAATCCACCCCAGGTGATAGCCACATGCAACAAGAGCAGCAAGGACACTTGCAGGCATTTTAATATAACAGAGTTTTATTGGGCATAAAAAAAAAAGAAGTGAGCTGAGATGGGCTATGGTCCACAAAAGCTTCTGTTAAGTAAAATTTGTTAATCTTTAGGATGCCACAAATTATTTGTTGTCATGTGGAGAGAGAGAGAGAACGAGAGAGAACTAGAAGGCAAATTCAAATCAGCTAAGAAATTGAGCTTATTTCTGCCTCTCAGGAGACCCTACCTTATAGGGTCGTTCTGAGGATAAATCAGAAGGAGAATGCCATGTGCACCTTGGACCAGAGGTATATAATGCAATGAAATGAATAGACCAGTGAGGACCCTGGTTTGCAAAGTGGCTTACATCCACATTCAGATCCAAATGCACAATTCACAGAGTCTTGAAAAGGTGTGTTAATCCTCTTATATAAGTGAACCCTGTGGCTCTTTGCTTTAGATTAATTCCTTGATCCAAAGCTGACTGTGTAAGACTGCTTATCACGAGCATGGGTGTTTTCGTTCATGTTGTCGAGGGGTCAGCCTGTGTCACCAATGAAACCAGAGAGGATTTTCTTTGCAGGTCGTTTTTGAAAGTTCCTAAGTCACCAGGCTTTCCTTTTTCCTTCCTCCTTGAACAAAAGAGCAAACATTAAACTAGTTGTTCTGAAACCCATCCAATTTCTCCCAGGGAACAGCAAGTTTTGTTTTTGATTTTGTTTTTTGAGAATGAAGGGGAAGCCAGATTGTTGT